ACTACGGGAGAATTGATGGCTATATCGGTAAATGGGAGCTTGTCAAGCTAATTCACATTCCATCGATTGCTGATAACCCATGGGTGCGTGGTTTGATCAGTGATGATGAGATATGTATGTGGGACGTAAAGAACAGTACGACGTATGTTACAAATATCAACACTGAACACACACAGAATGCGTTTGAAGGAGGAAGTAACATGTATATTACATCATGCGCCTCCCTAGACAGCAACGTAATAGTATGTGGTAAGTGGAGACCGGGAGGCTGCACGGGTGACAGCTTGGATGGATGCATCACTCTCTATGACAGACAATGGAAGGTGATTAGAGACATCAACATACCGAGGAATAGCAGCTCTGATGCAGTGTACGTTGATGTTGACAGGGATGGGATGATCCTTGCTGCTCAGTCCAATCAGTCTAATATCTACGTCATCAACCCTAATGATGGAAAGATAGTAAACACCATTACGATACAGGACGAGTCGGTGAGGGGTGATATACAAGCATTGTCATCAGGTGATATCGTTATGGAGACAGATATTGATGAATTCACAGTCATCTCACGATCAGGAGAAGTGAAGGCTGCCATACACTCTGATGAGTGGTATGATCCACGGTGTCGCGTTGACAAACTGACAGACACCCTCTACATCACATACTGCGGTACAGAGCGAACTATCTACGCGGTTGATCAGGTGTCATGTGTTGACAGAATACAGGCAAGAAGGATCGTGGAATACGAGATATCAGACCGATGCGACTACACTAACCCATGCCTCGTAACTCCTTCAGGTAACATTGTTGCCTGTGACAGAGACAAGCTTTTTGTGTACAAGAAGAGTTTTATTGTGTAATGCATTAGAAGAAATATATGAAATTCCTCATATTGCAGCCTAATTTGCCTCAACGGAATATTGAATGATCCAATTGTTAGAATAACCAAGTTGAAAGTAAAGCATCTCCATTTCTCACAAATGAATTTGTTTTAAATATTGAATACTAACATATTATTTGTCATTGATGTTAATTCGAGATTTCGATGACTATTTAGAAGTTGTTAGAAAGTCCACACCCGTAATACAATAATTACATAATATTTGTTTCTGAATATGATAACGAAGATAAGAACCACAGCAAATTATAAATAGGGTACACAATTGCTGAAGTAAACCGGGTGAATTTTAATTTCCATGTATTATGTATATAATCCTTATAGACGATTATTCTTGATTTTAATGATTTGTTTTCCAAGCTATCATGTTGACCAATATTCAAATGGATGGCATTAAAAGTATTAAAGCATGGATTGGAGAATGACTACTTTAAAACAAACAAAAAAAAAGTCATAACTACTGTTATGACCTTCCGGTGGTACACAACGTTTTTAGATTGATACAAAGTCTCAAAAGGTTTAGCTTTGGAACAGTAATGAAATGTTACGTTTAACAGAAAATCTTGACATACATAAGAATTGGCTCGGTATAATATTTGGCAAATTTCTTCCATTTCGAAAGTCATCGCGAGATTTCAAGAGGGATTTCAGGTTCAAAGCAGGTTTTATCAATATAATGTCAATGATGTGTACCTGACACAGGGATGATCATGGCCAGCTCTTTTGAAGTTGTGTCGATAAGTTTATGAACTGAGAAATTGAATTCACAATATTGATGTATTATTGATTATTGTTTATTATCATAATTGCATGTGTAATTCGTATTCTATGTATACATGTTATTCATTTCATACTTTTGTATTCTGTATGCATTTGAATATTTTGGTATGATTGTACTTATATTATAAATTTGTTATAAGTTATGAAATGTTTATGCAAATGTTTGATTATGTATATGTATCACCTGGAAGGCAAGTTTCTTCATTCTTCGGAAGAAGACAATAAAATTCTATACTATACTACTATACTATGTGAATTCATGATACATTGCTGTATGTACTAAAACAGATAAATGAACAGGCGATTCAATCAACTGTGTTTACACTGGCTTTATAATGTAAAAATAGCAACAACAAAAAACAAACCCAATAACATTGGACTTTTAAATGCAGTTGACAACCATTTGTTAAACATAGCTGATAAAGAAGAAACTTGTCATGGAAATATGCCTTTTATGTTTATTTTCATTGTAATGCTTTGTCAGACGAATGAACTGTTTTATATTATCCAAATATGATTGTCTTTAGTAGAAAATATTACTTGTCAAAGCTGTAAAGTGTAGTTCCGAAGCATTGACGAACACTCTGTACTGTGAAGAGTAGATTTGGTAGTAATGTTTATTTGTTCATTTTTATTCTGGTATCTGTTACTATTCTATTATCTGTCACATTTGCAAAGTACGCATTGTTAATCTGGCTTTTCATTTCATCCGCTCAGTCAATTAAAATCGTAACGTTAAGAATAAAAGTATTTGTCATTTTTTTAGCACGACTTTTAAAATCCAAAAATTTACAAATGCAAGTATTTGCTACAAAAAAAAATGTACATTCATTAGGCGTAGTTGAAATAGGTTTAAGTGATATAAGCGAGAGAATGGAGAAAATATAGACAGAGGATCAGAGAGAGAGAAAGAGAGAGATCGAGAAAAAAAGAGCGAAAGACAGAGAGAGAGAGAGATAGAGAGAGGGAGAGAGAAAGCTTTGAACATGTTTATGTAAAGGCGCTATATAAATATTAATATGCATGTATGTAGAGAGAGAGGGAAAGAGAGAGAGAGTGAAAGAGAGAGATGGAGAGAGAGAGAGGCGGGTGGGGGTAATGGGAAGACACCATCAAAAACAAAATAAAAAATACAAACAAACACAAAACTAGACATTTGATTATGCCTAACCAACACGAGCGCTGACATATCGTATATAAGATTATGCATTAATAAGACATGGAAGAGTATCATGATTATCCGACATCCTCATTTTGACTAGATAGAGATAGGCCTACCCTCCTACGAACAAACATTTGACCGGCACTAGAGCTTCACAACTGGTTAAATCCCTATAAACAATGTTGATTGTTATGCTAATGATAGAGTTGATGATAATGATGATGATGATGATGACGAAGATGTTGGTGTATAATCACCATGGTTATATTATAAACCATGGTGACGATATATCATCATCATCATCATCATCATCATCATCACCTCCATCGTCATAATATCACAGTTTCATTTTTTGGGAACTGTTAGCATATCATCAGAATGATCATCGTGCCTTGTCGGAATGGACTGGAAATATCTATTGTGCTCTCTAGCTACAGTAGATTGCTACTAGTAGATCAGGATTTTCTCAAAACTCAAGGTCCTTTTCTTTTACAAGGTACACAATTTAGTTAAATTTCATTCAAAACCGATAAGTCAAAATCGTTTTAAGAGGCAAAGGCGGGTAGTTGTAATATGCATAAAGAAGTGGAAGAAGAAGAGAAAGCAAATTGATAAAATCAATGGCATCGTAAAATAACAGAAACAAAGTCTGGATATCCTCCTGTACGATCCAGCGCGACATCAACATTACTTTTATACATACTTACTCAAAAGGAAACACCTGAGCTTTCGTTTAAATGAATTAATGAAGGGACTTCGTTATTCAGGCTGTTCCAGAATTTGGGTCCAGTAAAAATTATTGTTTTGTTACAAAATACGGTGCGAGTTCGAGGGAGATGATAATGGTTTGTCTGTCTAGGAGGGTAAAAATGTATAGTATTATTGCGTTGAAAAAAGGACGAAAGCATCTGGTAAATTATCTTTCGATAGCTCATACATAAATATTCCAATATTATATAAGTGGAAGCCAGATATTTTAAGAATATTACAATTATAGAAAAGCATATTTGTATGGACAAGAAAACCAACATTAAGCATCTTTTCTTCTGTAATGCATATGTCATATTACACATCTTTTCCTAATGCTAAATACAAATTGTCATTATTGCAGTCGATCTATACAGGAAAGACAGCATAAAAAGACGAACTGAGGTACAGGAGACAGTGCATATGATCCCGAACATGGGGATTCCCTGTTCGGCCCATACCAACCATGATGAAATGATGCAAAAAGTCTCTCCAAGAGATGACGCTCTGCTATGTTATCGAATAGACTGTTTGACTAATGTACATGTATATATACTTTGTGTTTACTAGTTGGTTCATTGTTCATGTTTGTACTTTCATACACTATATACATATTATCGTGTGTATCTTTGTGTCATTATCTATGTATAATGTATGAGAATTGTGTTCATAAGTGATGTATTGCTATTCATACTTTTATGTTTGTTTGTACTTTCATTCCCCGAGAGGGGGGCAAAGAGTCAATAAAATTCTAAATTCTAATTCTAACATTCTAATGTCTAAATGCATAGTAACAGTGGGTTGCAGATGGCGCACTTCAGTCTCGAACACTCGGACAAAGTAGCTCACTAGCAGACGATCTCACAATGCTTGTAACGTAATCGCGGGACTTTGATTTTTGTTATAATTTGAAATTGATAATCAGTCTCTATGCTCTTTAATGGGACAAATATGGATTGTGATATCAGCCCCTTTACCAAACAGCTGGAGTTATATTTTACTTACTGATATTGCCCAAGTAAAGTAAATTCATAGCCACCTCTACTCATACAAGATACCCACGACTTACACTCGTACACGTACGGAATGCGAAGAACACCGTCTACGCAACAGCGTACGCTACAGGGAAATGAAATGAAGAACTGAAAGGCACCGTAAAATTTCATTAACCATGTTTTGTAAGACTACTAAATAATATATAACATTGTACTTCTCTAAACAGACAGTGGACTACGTTTGGAGCTTTGCCTTTGGCTCCATATTAAAAAATGTATTATAGCCGAAGATTGTAATTGAAGTTAATGTATATTTTTCATGTAAATTTAACCAAACAATCGGACGTAGAGTGTGGTGGACGATTTGGCGAACTAACTAGTTGCCCAAGACCCATAGTAATGACACCATGCACTGTAATTTGGTTATAGACTGTAGCAGGCAAGGTTCAATCTGCAATTTAATAAAAGGATAAACAATAATAAGTCAACTTGCATAAACTGACATGAAAATAACATATGTATCAAATTAAATATACCCTGACAATCCTAATAACTATCTGTTATCATAACAAAGGAAAACAAACAATACCTTCTTCACTATAAATCTAGTGACTAAATACATGCAACAATTAATGACTCACCGACGGTGACTTTGTCATTCTTCAAGGTCATATCATTATACTACTACGTACATGTACATTTAGACGCACTACCGTGCACGACAATTACGTAACTTACATACACGTGTACAATCTTTCACTAGCTTGAACGACTCATTCATGTCATATTTCATCATCTCAAATTAGTGTCATAAACATCATATTTCATTAAGCTATCTAGCTGTAAAGACAATATAACTCATAAACTTCAAGATAACATATTCATTTCTACTTACATCATTGGGCTTGTATCACAAAATTAAACGAAAACTTAGGCAACTCTGGGAGGCAACTATCCCATGACGTGGAAAATCAGTAACACACAAAATCCAGTACGCCCTCAAGCGACCTAATCCATTCACTTTCTACAAAGCGACGCCTGTGACATCATAAGCATCGGCTTCAAGCAAAACGTCATCCTGTACTCCACATTCCGGCCCTCTTAAATGAGAAGCCTTTCTGAACATTTAACAATACTTTGTTCATTTGAAACATTTCAAATTAAGTTTATCCACAATTGCTACTTGCAATGAATCATTGTTCCTTTAAATTCTTCAACTTCTTATACTGTTCAAGTGACCTTTTTTTTCTTCACACCTTTAAATAACTAATCACCTTTAACCTATTTAATGATCTTGACCATTAATATCAACATAAAATATCTGAAGAGTTTCTTTTCAGCAAACAACTAAGTAATTTCAAAAGCTTTGACATTTGCATAAAATGCACCAAGTGTATATCAAATGCACTTACATAAAACAAATATCCTTCTCAACATCACCATGACAACCCTATCAGAACTCCCAACATTCCTTGTCAGAAATTAGAATCATTTTGGTAAACATCGACGACTCCAAAGATAACTGTAAGCAACCACGCTGCTTCCTCACTATAATTCCCGACACCAGGAATGACACTAAAAATGTTTTAATCCAAAACTAAATCCTCCTACTGACTCAGACGATGGGAGATCTGAAAGAGAAGTGTCAAGTTAAACATACAACCAACAACTAGACTGTACCGTAAACACACATTTTATGTTTGTAAGTAACTTTCTACTCGAGCTTCACATGAAGAGCTGAACTCTTGACCTTTCCTATTTTAATACCCTTTGTATTTGGAACACTGTACTAAAAGGCAAACTACATGTATACTACATGTGCCTTGACATGAGGAAGGATAAATTTCCCATTATGCTCAACTCCTGATAATCAGTCATACTTTCAAATAAAATTTGCAAATATTGCATTAATCAACATGACAACTAGTAGAACCTTTCTACACACAACTCACATTTTCTGTGTCAGAATATGGAACATTCTTTTACCACTTTACCACTATACTAACAAGAAAATGATATGCAAACCAATTCTGAAATAAATTTCATCTTAAATCAGAATGTTAAATGAAGCAATACATTTACATAAGTAAATATACAGTAATCTGATAATCACTGAAGCTACATGTAAATTACCATCAAACAACATACACAACTGCACATTTACTGCAACTTAAATGCTGCTAAATGCCATGTTAACATTTTACACTGGAAAATAACAAATTGTGTCAAAATTTGAAAATTACTCCATAACTTCAAGTGTAATACACTAATGTTCATTAGTTCATGAGTCTTTGAATAGCAAACAGTCATTTTTCTATAAATGTATCAGTTTATGTCTTCTTCTTGTAAGCCGTTCAGTTTCTCAATTCTCAGTTACATGAATCAGTCACTGTTGAGTTGCTATGGTGACTAAATCTGCACTGTAGATCACTAGACGATTCATATCTCAACAAAAAATTATATCCTCGCGTTGAATACGAATTGTCACATTTTGACACTTTCACGTAAAATAAATGTTGGCGATATCATGACATCACATTTCATGATAATAACATTTCTGCTCTTATTGGATCCTTCTGATTTCCAATCAAAAATCACGATCTTCATATGATCATATCTCTGCGACGACATCCTCTGAGACACAAATTCTCCTTGATCATGAAATTTATATATCTCAAAAATTTCTCTTTCTTATATGATTAAACATCACGTGATCCATGAATTCCAAATGAGGGCAATTAACAATCTCCTTCCAAAATCAGGCACAATTTCGAGATAGGACGAACAATTACGCTATTCTTTGTCTTGATGTTCGCACTACGGGTGAAGCCTTTCTTGTCTGGGAAAGTTTGAAGTACTCTTCCCAGCAGCCACGAATTCCGCGGAGTGTTTGCATCGGCAACCAGCACCAAGTCACCAATCTGAAGATTGCGATGCGATGGTACCCATCTTTCTCTTCTTTGCAACTGCGGTAAGTACTCTCTAGACCAGCGCCTCCAGAATACGTCGGCGAGATACTGTATTTGACGCCACCTCCTTCTCGAGTAGACATCTGATCTGTCCGTCACTGTTGGTGGCAGTTGCGGCTTCCTGTTCAGCAGAAGTAGGTGATTGGGAGTCAAGGCCTCAAGATCATTGACATCATCTGATACACTTGTTAGAGGCCTGTTGTTGACGATGCTCTCAATTTCGCAGAAGAGAGTTGTCAGACTTTCACCTGAGAGCACCTGTTGCTTAGTTACTGCCAGTATGAGCTTTCTCACAGTCCCAATCTGCCTTTCCCAGACTCCTCCAAAATGGGAAGCAGTGGGTGGGTTGAAAGTCCATTTGATGCCTTTCTGGAGCAGGTCTGCGCTGATTTGAGCTTTGTTCCATCCATCTATTTCTCTTTTCAGCTCTCTCTCAGCGCCCACAAGATTAGTGCCATTATCTGAGAGCATCTCCTTGATATTGCCCCTGCGAGCGATGAAACGACGAATGGCACTGATACAAGAGTCCGTATCCAAAGAATGAGCGACTTCCAAATGAATGGCGCGTGTGGTAAGACATGTAAACATGACTCCATATCTCTTCTCCATGCTGCGACCCCTTTTAACCTCAAAGGGGCCGAAATAGTCAATGCCAACCTTGGAAAATGGAGGCTCGTCAGGTAACAGTCTATTCTCAGGCAGGTCAGCCATCTTCTGACTCATCATCTTCCCTCTTTGCCGCCTGCACATGACACATCTGCTAATCATGCTCCTGATAGCTGCTCCTGCTCCAAGCATCCAATACTTCTCACGGAGCACAGAAAGGACATAATTTCTTCCACTATGCCCTGCCTTTACATGAACATCTCTCAAGATCAGATCTGACACGTGACTTCCCTTGGGTAAGACGACTGGGTGTTTGGCTTCTAATGGTAGAGCTGATCTCTCTAATCTTCCTCCAACTCTAACAAGACCCTCGACTATCTTAGGGTCCAGCTTGTAGAGTTGACTTGTCTTTGTCACTTTACCATCTGAATCGGTCAATGATTCAATCTCCTTCTGGAAGAAACATTTTTGCACGTAATGCAAAATTCTCTTCTCTGCTTTCTGCATGTCGTCGTAACTGATCCTTTTGAAGTCCCTCAGCTCTTGCTCTGTCTGGGTTTTTCCTTTGAGTTTCAACCACTGCATGAACTTCAATAGCCAGCTCACTCCCCTCCTCAGCTTATACCAGGAGGAATATGTGTTGATAAGCCTTTCCAATGACTTCTCCTCTGACTGAGTTGTGAATGCACTGGCATTTTCTGTAGGTGGTTTGATTTCTGGATCACTTGGTGGCACTTGCAGATCAGCTGGAGCGATAGGCCATTCCATCTCATCAGCACATAGGAAGGATGGTCCCTTGAGCCATCTGCCATTGAGCTTGTCTGGCGTTAGACCTCTTGATACATCATCAGCTGGATTCTTTTCTGTGTTGACATATCTCCACTGCCTGGGCTCCGAGGCATCACGGATGGTAGATATCCTGTTAGCCACAAATGTCCGAAAGCGCTTGTTGTCACTGCGGATGTAATGGAGGACTATTGTGCTATCTGTCCAAAAGACAGACTCATTCAAGGGAAAGTCCAGCTCCTTTCTGATCTTTCTATCCATTGTGACTGCAAGTGCTGCCGCCATGAGCTCTAAGCGAGGTATTGTCATCTTCTTCAGAGGTGCTAATTTTGCTTTAGCCAGAATTATGTTGCAATGGACTTGTCCTTCTTCACTGGTCATGCGCAGGTAAGACACTACACCGTACGCCGACTCAGATGCATCACAGAAATGATGCAGTTGGTACTCGTTCACATCATCAAAGGGTCTGAAACACCTGCTCACTCTGAAGTTGCTCATTAAGGGAAGCCATTCTTTCCATTTTAGCCACCTGGAATGGTGTTCATCTGGAACTGGGTCATCAAATCCAAGCTTCAGAGCAGTTAGATCCTGGAGGATTCTCTTGGCAACCAAGACGAATGGACTGGCATATCCATAGGGGTCATATATTGATGCTATCTCACTCAGAATTCCACTCCTCGTTACTGGTTTGCCCTTGGGGGTGATCTTATAGGTGATGCAGTCCAGTTCTACATCCCATGTTACTCCAAGTGCCCTTTCTGCTGGTAAGGCATCCCGATTCAAATCGAGTCCCACAATGTTTTTAGCTCGATCTTCCAAAGGCACAGACTTGATCACAGCTGGGCTGTTGCTTATCCACTTGGTCACTTCGAATCCACCCCTCTTGAGCAGCGTCATGAGTTCAGCTACAAGCTTGATTGCATCATCTTCTGTTTCGCATGAAACGAGACAGTCATCTACATAGAAGTTACGACCGACAGCATCCACTGCTTCTGGAGAATATTCGGTCTTGAATTCTTCAGCTGTATGTCTAAGAGCAAAACTACAAACACTTGGGCTCCATGTCCCACCGAATAGGTGAACACACATCCTGTAAGCCTTAGGATGTTGGATAAGATCTCCTTCTGGCCACCACAGGAAGCGAAGAAAGTCTCTCTGCTCTGGTGGGACTCTAACTTGGTGAAACATTGCCCTTATGTCTCCCATAATGGCTATAGGTTCTTGGCGAAATCTGAGCAAAACACCAAGAAGGTTGTTCGTCAAGTCTGGACCTTGAAGTACCGCATCGTTCAAAGAAGTTTCATTGTACTTGGAAGCACAATCGAAGACAATTCTTGTCTTTTCTGGTTTATTTGGATTGAATACCGGGTGATGCGGTAACTACCAGACTCCTTCATCCTTCCCAAGATCCTGGTCCTTAACCTCTTCAGCATACCCTTCATCCAACAAAGACCTCATTCCTTCACTGTACTTAGCATGTAGACAATCATCCTTTACCAGTCTTCTCTTCAGTGACTTTAGTCTGGTTAGTGCAACTTGGATGTTATTCGGCAGATCTTCAGGCCTCTTCCGAAATGGAATGGGAAGTTGATAATGATCACCATCTCTGCAAACTCCTTCCTGCCAGGTCTTCAAAGCTTTCTGATCATTGATGGACATGCTCCTTTCATCATCATGAAGGTATTCTGTCCCTTCTAGCTTCCAAAATTTGTGAACTTGTTCTTCCAGGAGCATGTTACCATCATCAGAGATGAAGCTAGACGAGGCTTGAAAACTCTGTAAACTACTTCCATTTCCAAGTGGACCATTTAACGTCCATCCAAGTATTGTCTTGACAGCATAAACTTCACCAGGTTTACCTGCTTTGATTTCAAGTGGCATCAGGGCTTCAGGCACATCTTGTCCAATCAGTATGGTTACTTGATTCTTCCCCGTGACTGGAAGATCAATACCACAAAGATGTTGATATTTCGAAATATCTTCCTCCCTGGCCATGTTTGCAGTACTGATGTTCAGGCTGGGACGAGTTAGAAATTCAGCCTCTATCATCTTGTCTGCTGTGGAACCTTTAACCCTCAACTTGACGGCTTCGCATTCCATTGCTCTTTTAGGGCTTTCCAGTGTTGAGACCTGAATGACTTTCTTTTTCCCCTTTGTCTGGAGCACATCTATTAATTCTTGCAGACAGAAAGAGTTCGTAGATCCAGGGTCCAGCAAAGCTAAGGTCTCAATGCTTTCTCCACCATCTGCAGCACTGACAGTAACCGGAATTATTGGAAGGGCTACTCTGCAACCTCCGGCCCTCGTGGCATTGGAACTAGCATGAGATGCTACATCATAGTCAGTTTGAGTTGAGGAGTCATTTGATTCCCTTCTTGTTCTCCAAGGTGTAGGATTTCCTGAAGATGGTCTCATCCTTCTCCCGGTATGGAGGAACTTGGTATGCCTTTGATTGCACCCCTTGACTGAGCAGGTCCTATTAAGGATGCACTTTGAGGATACATGACCAGGTAACAAGCAATTGAAACAAAGCCTGTTCTTGAAGGCAAAATCAAAGCGTTCATCAGGCTCCATGGCTTTAAATTCCTGGCAACCGAAAAGGTCATGGCTGTCCTGACACATGATGCAGTTCTTGGTCGATGAATTCACAGAGGTAGTAAACATGCTTGCCTGACCTCTATTTGACACAGTTCTTTCCTTTACACTCCTTGCACTTCCTAGACTCTTTGGTCCACCCATAAGTAAGGCTCCAAATACAGGATCATTGAGTTCATCAGCTGCACCGGTGATGAATTCAACTGCATGCTGGATGTTAGGCTGTCTGCCACTATCCCTGATGGTCTTTACGAAACGCAACCACCGGCTCTTCAGATGGAATGGCAAACGTTCAATGACCTTCACCAGCTCACTTCTGCTGCTCATCTCGTGAAGCATCCCAAGGGCCATCAAAGTTTCAGCACAGGTCTTTAGCTGATCAGCAAAATCCCTCAGATGTTTAGGATTGCTCTGAATAACTGGACCTTCCGTGACCTTCCTAATCCAGGCGTCACTGATCTTATGGTCACTTCCAAAGCGATCTATCAGAAGTGTTCTAGCATGAAAGTACCCGTCATCTTGATGCATCATGAGACAACATTGGATTATGTCTTTGGCAGCTCCAGTACAAAGATGATACAACTTGAGCAGCTTGGCGTTATTGTCCAATGACGAATTTCCAATGACACTATCAAATGATCGTATGAACTCAAAGAAATTCAACGGGTTACCATCAAAAGACATAATGTTGGTACTTGAAATTGTGATGGCTTCCAACAGCTGTTGATGTTGTCTCTGTCCTTGCTGTAGATGATGTAAGATGTCAGAGTCCATGTTACCAGTTATCTTTTCATCTTGACTGGTCAGTATCTGGTTTTCACTAGCTGGCTTCATTCTAGCAGGAGTTGATGAACCTTGTTGGGAAGGTTCAGATTTGGAAGGCTCAGTCTTCTGTTCTATGGACCGAGTACCTCTATATACAGTTTCCTCTGCTTCAGCGATCTTTAATCTAGTCTTCAGAAGAAGCTCAGCTTTCCGTTGTTTAAGCTTCATTTCTTCTATCTCAAGTTCTTGTTGGTCTTTAAGAGCTGCTACTTCAGCGGCTAAGGCAGCTCTCTTAGCCTTAGCCCGTATCCTCCAACTCGCCGAGGTGGTGCTACTCCCCCTTTGGCTAGCTGAGTCCTCAGGTCTAATACTGTCCGACTTGTGGTCCTTGAAGGTAACCTCTGGATCTGTGCTGTTATCCATGGCGATACTCATGATGGAGGATATGACAGTCACACAAGTTGATATTGAACTGTTGTGGTGGACGATTTGGCGAACTAACTAGTTGCCCAAGACCCATAGTAATGACACCATGCACTGTAATTTGGTTATAGACTGTAGCAGGCAAGGTTCAATCTGCAATTTAATAAAAGGATAAACAATAATAAGTCAACTTGCATAAACTGACATGAAAATAACATATGTATCAAATTAAATATACCCTGACAATCCTAATAACTATCTGTTATCATAACAAAGGAAAACAAACAATACCTTCTTCACTATAAATCTAGTGACTAAATACATGCAACAATTAATGACTCACCGACGGTGACTTTGTCATTCTTCAAGGTCATATCATTATACTACTACGTACATGTACATTTAGACGCACTACCGTGCACGACAATTACGTAACTTACATACACGTGTACAATCTTTCACTAGCTTGAACGACTCATTCATGTCATATTTCATCATCTCAAATTAGTGTCATAAACATCATATTTCATTAAGCTATCTAGCTGTAAAGACAATATAACTCATAAACTTCAAGATAACATATTCATTTCTACTTACATCATTGGGCTTGTATCACAAAATTAAACGAAAACTTAGGCAACTCTGGGAGGCAACTATCCCATGACGTGGAAAATCAGTAACACACAAAATCCAGTACGCCCTCAAGCGACCTAATCCATACACTTTCTACAAAGCGACGCCTGTGACATCATAAGCATCGGCTTCAAGCAAAACGTCATCCTGTACTCCACATAGAGGTATTTATGAATAACTTTTTTTAGTCACTCTTTTGTATTCAAGGCTTTCCTTTCTCCTTCCCCTATAATTACAGTCCTGATTTCTTTCTCCTCCTCAATTGAGTTGCATCCCACACAACAACAACATGGACATCGATGCAAAGAGGCCCTATCTAACTTCTCGTCAAGGGGGCGGTATACTTTTGTTTTGAGAATCAAAATTAAAAAAAATCAAAATCAAAATCAAAATCAAGATTTTTGCTTGAAATTAAAAGAGGAGGCGAGCGGATCGAACCTCCATAACTTCAAAGGGTCATAAGAGGCTCCATTCATATTGCGTGATGTGTGAAACTAGTTGTGTTATTGTATCGTTATGACTCACTCGATAAGATAGGAAACCAAAGGAAGGAGGCGATAGTAATTTTCTCTTGAGCTATAATAAACTATAATTCAACCCGCTCTATCCCAACTCAAGCTTTCTCTCTCTCTCTCTCTCTCTCTCTTCTAGGATGTCATATAATGCCTATATGTACACATCTAAATTAGTTGTTGGGAATATATGTGTTCCTCATATGCATCAGATTGTTGTTTAGTATGATGTAAGCACAAAGAAATCGAAGAGCGCAGAGATGTAATATACATCACACAATTCTTCGCATTAGCAAATCGTCTACACTTGATTTCACGTTCATCACTCTGTGAACAGTTTCAGACGCACATACAAGAGCTGTTCCCGTGTAGTAGTTATGATAACATATCGGATTTATATTTATCTGTGCCCTCATATTGTCTAAATATGTGGTAGCATACAACCTTTGAATGTGAAAGTGGGAAATCCCTATATACCCGGATATATTTTTACAAGCACTCCAATTCCGTTTCACTTTCTCTTTCCTTTCATTTGTATACATTTAAACTGTACACTGTATAACACTGTAATACTACATCGTTGTCTCGTAGTGGATAAGTCCTCGTCGCAACGGGATAACACAGCAAACTGCTCGCAAGTAATATCTTTGATTTGTAATATCACATACTTGTAATCATTTTGACACAAACATTTGAGGCATAGGATGTTTAGATAAGTAATGGTTGTCTTCTCTGTTGGTTCGATTTCAAACGAGACATTTAATAATGGGTTTGATAAGGACGCGCTACAATACGAATGTACTGATGTAAATTGTATCAGGCATGACATTATTCGCCTAACCAAATATGAGTATATAAGTCATAATGTACTGCCGAGCAATAGGAAAAGAAGACACAATAATAAAGAATAGAAGAGATAAAATGTTTGATATTCTGTCTAAGGTTCTGTTTCTGCTATCCTTTTTTTATTTTCCCTCCACCACTCGTGTATGTACTCTCTTTCTTTCCTAATCCACTTCTCTATAATGTCTACTCCTTTGGTCATTACTGTGATTTTATTTGTATTATTGTTTACGACACAGGTTACTTGCCACCATTTGCTCCACATCATGGCGTCCAAGTTCCCAGCAGAGGGAGATGAAAAGGCCAAGCTACACACTAGAAAGGGTCATGACATGACATGGTCATGTGACATACACGGTGAGCCAATCAAGTTTTACTGTAAAGAACACGAGATCCCTCTGTGCCATCCATGCGCTACCAAAGATCACCAGAAACCCTGTCACCTTGACAATATTGGAGATGTCATCTTGGAGCTGGTCAGGAAGCTGGATGATAACAGCTTGAAATAGAGGAAACAAAACCACACTTACAGAATCTTGACTCTAAAATACAAACTTGTTCAGCTGATGCAAGAAACCATCTTCGGTCCATCGATGGTGCTGCTAAAGCTACGTTCGAGAGTAAAATGAAGAGTGCGAAGGACAAGGAGCGGGATAAAATTCGTTCGATAAACGAAGAGGCGGATAAAGACATACGAACGATCAATGAGAAGAGAGAAAAACGGATCAAATCATGTAACGAAGAAGCTAAACAGCAACAACTACCAATCAGAGAAAGCCAAACCAAAGTGGAATCAGAGACAAAGGCAATCAGCGAGTTGGTTGCTAAAAAGATAAAAGATCTCACAAGTAAGAATCAGCATGCAATCAGCACTATCGATAATATTGACGTCAAGATCAACCGAATCAAACAAGATGACGAATCATTAGTGAATGAAGCTCATCAAGTACTTGCATCCCTCAATGAAAATTTAAATTTGAATATTCAGCAAGATGTCAACGACTGTCTTGACCGAATACAGCGTGAAGTTCAGAAAGTGAAGTTTGTCGAGGGTGAAGTAGATGGAAAACACTACGGGAAAATTGATGGCTATATCGGTAAATGGGAGCTTGTCAAGTCAATCCACATTCCATCGACTGCAAATGAACCACGGGTGTGTGGTTTGATCAGTGATGATGAGATATGTGTGTGGGACGTAAAGAACGAGAACATGTACGTTACAAATATCAGCACAGAACACACACAGAAAGTCATTGAAGGAGAACGTAAGGTAGGTATTACCTCATGCGCCCCCATAGACAGCAACGTAATAGTATGTGGTAAGTGGAGACGAGACTGCACGGGTGACAGCTTGGGTGGATGCATCATTCTCTATGACAGGCAATGGAAGGTGATTAGAGACATCAGCATACCGGGGAATACTGACTTGGTTAATGAGGTGTACGTTGATGTTGACAGGAATGGGATGATCCTCGCTGCTCAGGAAGATCAGTCAAATATCTACGTCATCGACCCTGCTGATGGTAAGATAGTCAACACTATTACGATGCAGGGCAAGGAGGTGTGGAGTGAGATACAAGCCTTGTCATCAGGTGATATCGTTGTGAAGACAGGTAGTAATCATTACACTGTCATCTCACGATCAGGAGAAGAGACGGTTGCCATACATGCAGATGAGTGGTGCGCGTCATGGTGTAGCGTTGACAAACTTACAGACACACTCTACATCACATACTGGGATAGAGAGCGTAATATCTGCGCAGTTGATCAGGTGTCATGTGATGGTATCATCCACGCAAAGAGGATCGTGGAATACGAGGAATCAGACAGATGCTCTTACACTAGCCCATGCCTCGTAACTCCTCCTGGTAACCTTGTAGCTTGTAACGGAGACAAGATTTTTGTGTACAAAAAGAGATTTATTGTATAAGTCATAAGAAGAAATAGGTGAAATTCCTCATAATTATTGCAGGCCTAATTTGCCTCAATGGTGTATTGAATTATCAGAAAGTCCACACCCGGAGTACAATAATGTTTACATTAAAAAAATTACACAATATTTCATTTCTGAATAAGATAAAGGAGATTCGAATTACAGTAATTCATAAATAGGGTACCTAATTGTTGAAGTAAACCTTTATAAACGATTTTTTTTTTAATGTTTTTTTCCCTAGCTATCATATTGACCAAGATTCAAGTGGATGTGATAAAAATTATGCATGGTTTGGAAAATGACTACTTTAAAACTACCAAAACATGAATCAAAACTACAGTTATTTATTTTCGGTGGTACACATTGTTTTTAGATTGATACAAAGTCTCAAAAGGCTTAGCCACTTTGGAACAGAGGGGAAATGTTATGTTTAAAACAATACAGACAAGCTTGACATCGATCAGAAATGGCTCGCTGTAAGATTTCGCAAATGTTTCCATTTCCAAAATCATTGCGAGATATCAAGAGGGATTTCATGTTCAAAGCAGGTTTCATCAATATAATGTCAATGATGTGTAGCTGACACAGGGAGGGTCATATCCCGATCTTTTGAAATTGTGTCGATAAGTTTTGGAACTGAGAAATTAAATTCTCAAAATTGATTTATTATTGTTTATTGTTTATTATTATTTATTTAAATTAATTACTAATTTAACATAAAGCAACAACAACAACAAACAAAATACCATTGGGTTTTTAAAGGCAGTTAGCAAACATGTCTTATTATATAGCTGATAAAGAGAAATCTAGTTAATATTGGAACATGCCTTTTTTACGTTTATCTTCAGTGTAATACTTTGTCAAACGAATGAACTGTTTTATATCATCCAAATATGATTGTCTTTAGTAGAAAAAAACAGTTATAACAATTAAAAAATAATAATTACTTGTCAAAGCTGTAAAATGTAGTTCCTAAGCATGGACGAAACAATCCTTACTATGAACAGTAGTTTTGGTAGTAATGTTTATTTTGTTCATTTTATTATTTGTTTACCTGGAACATATGCAAAGTAAACAATGTCAACCCGGCTTTTCATTTCATCAGCTCAAACAATTGAAATAAACGTAATCAACTACAGTATTTGTCATTCTTTAAGTATGAATTTTTAAATCAAAGAACGAAAACATAACATTGTTTGTTACACATAGAAAACATTAAAATCATTAAGCGTAGGTGGAATAGTTTTAAGTGATATAAGCAAGAGTAAGGGGAAAAGTAGACAGAGCGTAACAGAGAAGAAAAAAAAGGAGAGAGAGAGAGAGAGAGATAGAGAGAAAGAGAAAGGGAGAAAGAGGGGATGGAGAGAGTGAGGAGACAGAAGTAAAAAAAAAGAAAAGAAAAAAGAAATCAAACAAAGAACTAGACCATTTGTTGTATCTAAAATACACGAACGTTATCGCAGAAATATATCAATGATTTTGCTTTCCGATGCTGTTAATCATAATTTTAACACCCTCTCAATAATTATGTAATGCCTTTGTCATATGTTAGCGAACTCCTCATTTAGTAACATTACATCTTTTCATCATCCTGACGACGAGATGGTCATTATTGCGGTCGATATATACAGATAAGACAGCATAAAAGGGCCGAGCTGGTGTAAGGACACAGTGCCTAAGAATAGGTTTCGAAAATGGGGATTCCCCCCTCGACCCTTACAAACCATAACGCAATGGTAACAAAAGAATCGCCAACAGATGACGCTAGGCGATGTTGTCGAATAGATAGGTTGACTAATGTATGCATAGTAGCAGTGAGTTGGAGATGGCGCGCTTCACTCTCGAACGTTCGG